ACACTCGGACTCGGGACGCCCCTGGCCTGGGGGCAAGTCATTACATTCGCCCTGCTTCATGATTGGCTGGGAAGCTGGCTCCATGCTCCCTCGTCACTTGGTGATGAGGGAACAAGGGGGGTGGCTTCCCGGCCAATAGAGCTGGCTTTCCGGCCGATCAGTAAGCCAGGTGGTGGGTAATGACTTGCTGCCCGGCTAATCAGATTGTTTGGGAAGCTGGCCGATCAGGAAGCTGGGCAGCAAGTCATTACCCGCCCCCCGGCTTCCGGATTGGGCAGAAAGCCTGCTGCGTGCTTCCTCGTCACCGACGAGAGAGCATGGAGTCTCTTCCAGGCTAATCAGGAAGCCAGGAGGTGAGTCATTACACACCGCCCGGCTTCCTTAATAGGACTTCTGGTATTGGTATTTGGTATCGGCGAGTACCAAAAAATATATATATATTGGTACTCGTACTGGATACTGAAAAACGGGTATGGGTGCATCCCTACTAAGAACATTCATTTTTGCCTCTATTCACACAAAACGGATGTTCACAGAGATTTGCAGGGTTCTGCAAATAGTTTATGAATAGACCCCTAGGAGTAGATTCTTCCCTGTTGGGTCCCCAGGGTAGAAAGTGAAGGGAAATCTCCCTTCTATGATACAGACAATAATAAAAAAACAACCCAAACAGGTGTTCTGACCATTTCCTTCCCTCCTACTTAATCTAAAACTAGAGAAAAAGCTTTGGTTTCGGTAGACTTTACATTAAACTATGGGAATGGAAGCTCCATAATATAGAATTGTGCTTTAGGGTTCCTTGTCCTTCCGTGTCCTTCCGTGTCACAGACAGTACAATAGCTCTGCTGTGTGAACACACATCTCTGCTGTCCCCGTTCCATCGCCCCGGGCAGTGTCAGCCACAAATAGACACACTCCGATATGACGCAGTCCCATCTAACCTGCACAGAATTCACCATTTGTCATCTGCTGATCAGCCCGCAGGCTGGAAGAGGTGACAGAAAAGACACAACGCTGTCTAGATATATCAGCAGAGACTCCACAGCAGAGACTACCTGGGTGGTTCTGGTTTAAACAGAATCTGTTTGTAAAACGGAACTGGCTGTACTTTCCGCTATTGAAGTGCCTACAGCCAAGACTGTATTCTAGCTTTGGATGGAGCAGGGAAGAGTCCGACCCCCTGTCCAGTTTTGTGAGCCCCACACCAGTAGTATTAGCCCTCACTCACACTGGAATCGGCCCGCACGTACAGCTCCGTACCGAGCAGCTCCCGGGAAGGACAGGTAACAAGCGATGGTGGAAGCAAGGTTCCAAGTTTAAAGTTCACCAAGGACCACAAGCCGTCATGGTACACTATAGATTTTTAATCTTTTAGCCCTCATTCACACTGTAATCGGCCCGCACGTACAGCTCCGTGCTGCGTGCACGGCCGTACCCAGCAGCTCCCGGGAAGGACAGGTGCTGCGTGTGATTAGTACACAGCCCCCATCCTTCTCTATGGGAGTACGAGGCCATACGCCGCCCTACGCTCACCTCAAGTGCAGGTCCGTACGTGTGCGTGTTTCCTGGCTCGGACGTAGGCAGGATCCATCCTGTCAATGTACGAGTACGCTAAACCTGCACCCACATGGACGTGCAGGGCGGGTGAGCTTACGGCCGCGTATTCCCGTAGAGAAGGGCGGGGGCTGCGTACTAATCACACACAGCACCTGTCCTTCCCGGGAGCTGCTTGGTACGGCCGTTCACGTCACATTGTATGTCAGCACGCCTTGTTGACAGCCTTCGTGGCACACATTGACATGCAATTTGATGAGTTCCTATTGATTTCAATAGCAAAACGTGTGTGATGGGTACAGTGTGTGAAGCGATTGTCACCAGCACACCTTAGGCTTGGCCAGAGGCGTAACTAGAAACCTCAGGGCCCTGGTGCAAGAAACCATGAAGGCCCCCCCCATAAAAAATGTTGGCGCCTTGGCAGTTACCAAGGTAGTGCATGTGTGTGGTCTCATGCAGCCTACCTGACCCTTCCTAGCAGCAATAATAATTTATTATTGCCGACTTGGGTGGGAATTATTAATATTTGGGGGGAGGGGGGCTAAATGTTATTGCTGCCTGGGTGGAAAATAATATTGTCAGGAGTTATAAAAAAATAAGCCCCAGGCAGCAATTATATCCCCTCTTCCCACTAGAAATAATAATGTATTACTGCTGCTGGGGGGAAATTATTATCATTTAAGTGTTTAAAAAACAATACCGAAAAACTACCTTTTACTTTCTCCAGCCTGGCTTCACCTCATAGCTTCCCTAATGCTGTGATGAAGCCCCTCCAAGACTCCCACACTGTTGTGATGAAGCCCCCCAGTGCTGCGATAAAGCCCCCAATGACTCACCCAATGCTGTGATGATGAAGCCCCTGGGGGGGTCTCAAGGATCTTCTGACCCAGGCATCTCTCAGCACTCTGACCCTGGACCAGCAGCACCTAGCTCTCCAGCCAGCCCTAGACTCACACCTCAGGCTCAGCCCGGACCAGCTTCCTGTTGAAAAATCTGGCTGCCCTTCTGCCCCTCGGCCATGTCATCGATTTTACAGAGGACCAAAGCAAGGGAAGTGGGGGCCAGCTGGACCGATGTGCCCCGGGACATGCTGCCAAGCTCACAGGGCAGTACACAGCACACGTCGCGCAACTGCCTGTGAGCATCAAGATTTATCTGCAGAGGACCGGACCGGCTCCACACATCAGCCCTGACAGAAGGAAACGTCAGTGTCGGGCCGGGCCCTCTTCTTCGTTTCCAGGGCCCCCCCCCCACCAAGTGGCGGAACGCTAGGGCCTTGTCGCAAGTGCGACCGCTGCGACCCTGGTAGTTCCGCCAGTGGGCTTGGCCAATACAGATGATTAAATCTCTTTGCTGTTGAGAAATTCAACTACTTGTTGGCAATCATCTCATCAGCACCAACAGTGAAAGGCATTACTTCTTGACCATTTTTTTTTCACTTTTATTGTGCTCATGCGTTGGTGGAAGAATGCCGTCATAGAGCAAACACAATGTACTCCACTGACCCCTAGTGGAGAAATGTATAATTGCATCAGTAGTCACATGGTGTTTATTTTGTTGTATTTTCCAATAAAAAATGTACATTGAAAGGGCAGGACAGAACATCCAGCAATATAATCACTATCAGGGTTATTCACAGAAGGGTGAAGAGTTTGGAGGAGGCAGGAGAAGGGAACAATCTAGGACAACATAGCCGAGCTGGAAAGTGAGCTGAATTGGAGTATTTTTCCAGTTCAGCTATTCTGTCCTAGATTGTTCACTTCTCCGGCCTTCTCCAAACTCTTCACCCCTTTGTGAATAGCCCTGTATATATCTTTCAGTGTGTACAATTCCCCCTTGGAAAGGATTTTGTTCCCAAGTGTGACAAACACATTGCCAGACGTTTGTGGACACCTGATCATCACATCCCATTCCAGAACCATGGGCAATAATATGGAGTCCCCCCCCATTTTGCTTTTTTGGGGCTATAACACACTCTACCCTTTTGGGAAAGGTTTGCACAAGATTTTGGAGTGTGTCTGTGGAAATTTGTGCCCAGTTAGTTAAAAGAACATTTGAGAGGTCAGGTACTGATGTTGGATGAGAAGACCTAGCTCGCAGTTGGCATTCCAATTTATCCCAGAGGTGTTCAGTATGGTTGAGGTCAGGGCTCTGTGCAAGGCGTGGGGGTTCCTCCTCACTAAACTCATCAAACCATGTCTTTATGGAGCTGGTGAAAAGCACTCACCTCATAGTTCTCCTTTAAAAGGGGACCTGTACTCAAAATGTTAACATTCTTACTGGGATTGATATGGAGTAATAAAATGGCTAAAACACTTACTTTTTATGGAGAAAAGACTGCTTTAAAAGCCCAGATATTTGGTCACATGATCTCTGTTGGAGGGAGGATCAGCTTCTCTACAGCAGACCAAAGACCTACAGGGTTATTCACAAAAGGGTGAAGAGTTAGGAGGAGGCAGAAGAAGTGAACACTAGGACAACATAGCTGAACTGGAAAAATCTTCCAATTCAGTTCACTTCCCAGTTCAGCGATGTTGTCCTAGAGTGTTCCATTCTCCTGCCTCCTCCTAACTCTTCACCCTTTTGTGAATAACCCTTCTAGACTTTTTCGACATGCAGAGACCTGCCACTGCATCCTGTGGTGTTGCAAGGACCAGCAAAAGGAACCAGGGAACGCAAGGGGAGACCAGGGACCTAAAACTTGATCTGATGTCAGAAGTGTATCAGATGCTTGCCCCCCCCCTCCCCACTGTGCACTATGGTTTCTTCCACTGGCCCCTAAGTAATCACTGTGTTCTGTAGTGATGTAGGAACCAGTGGAGGAAACCACGGAGTGCAGGGGGAGAACAAGGATCTGACATGTCCGGATGCTAAAGATTCTTCAGCCACCATAGAGCTGCAAAGATCGGCAACACAGGAGACAGAGCAGCCAGGTGTCATTTTCTTTTGCAATTAATGCTTTTTAGTTGTTTTTTTTTAATCGTTGTAGATTTTGAGGGTTACAAGAAAGTGACCTGGAGCCAAACCGCTTTGCCAATGCTCGTTGTACACAGAGCTCTTCAGAATGTGTAAAATCATCCTC